TTTATGGGGAACAGCCACTTTTCTCTGATGCTTAGTGAGAGAAACGTATAGAAAATTTAAAAACACTTTAGCTGGGCGTGGTGGCTCATGCCTGTAATCCCAGCACTTTGGGATGCCGAGGCGGGCGGATCACCTGAGGTCAGGAGTTCGAGACCAGCCTGACCAACACGGAGAAACTCCGTCTCTACCAAAAATACAAAACTGGCCAGGCATGGTGGTGCATGCCTGTAATCCCAGCTACTTGGGAGGCTGAGGCAGGAGAATTGCTTGAACTTGGGAGGCAGAGGTTGCGGTGAGCTGAGAATGCACCATTGCACTCCAGCCTGGGCAACAAGAGCGAAACTCCGTCTAAAAAAATAAAAAACAACAAACACTTTATCATTCTGGAGTATGATGAACACTAAGTGTTTTTGACCTTCAGATGTTTTTTAAATTTAGTCAACAAAAAGATAACTGTTTTTGAAAAAATAATTTTGTTTTGACAAGTAGTATTCTTGCCACTTAGCATTTTACCTTCAATCAGCCCAAAATTACAAATGTATAATTCACAAAATGCTTGTTTTATAAAATGTATACATTGTCTACTTAAATCTACTGACACCGGATAGGATGGTCCTCAACAACAGGAATCAGAAGACTACCAGGGCTGTTACTGGACAGTTCCTTTAAGAATTTGCACTCTTTTTCAACATGTTTGCAAGCAAGGGATTAGTATCTCCACAGACAAGGGAGCATATAGCACCCAGAGACCACAAGACCCAGTAAAGCCTCAGGTTTCCTCATTATAATCCCTGCTAAGCCACCCTATTTGCTCTTAAAATTTAACATAAATGGTTCTCCGATGGTCTCTGTCAGGTTGGTGGAAGCAAGAGCCAGGAACTTCTTTTTTTTTGAGACGGAGTCTGGCTCTGTCGCCCAGGCTGGAGTGCAGCCGCCGGATCTCAGCTCACTGTAAGCTCTGCCTCCCGGGTTTACGCCATTCTCCTGCCTCAGCCTCCCGAGTAGCTGGGACTACAGGTGCCCGCCACCTTGCCCGGCTAGTTTTTTGTATTTTTTAGTAGAGATGGGGTTTCACCGTGTTAGCCAGGATGGTCTCGATCTCCTGACCTCGTGATCCGCCCATCTCGGCCTCCCAAAGTGCTGGGATTACAGGCTTGAGCCACCGCGCCCGGCAAGAGCCAGGAACTTCTAAGCTTAACTGCCCCTATATAGTCTTCTCTCACAAACCCTCCCTCTCCTGCTCATCTTAGACTTCAAGTGCTCTACAGCCCAGAGGAACAAAGATTCAACCCCGAACAGTTTCCAGTAGACTAGCCTGGCAAAGCCCCCTTCAAATTTCATCAGCTCTCAAGCAGCCACAAACTGATTAAGATCCTTGAATTGGAATGTCAGTAATATATCATCACCCATTACTGTCTGTGTAGAGGAACCAATTAGTTTAAGCATCAGCATGCAACAGCTTTGTCAGACTCTGTTATCAACAGCATGTTATCACCTTCAGCACCTCCTGGATATGCTCTTGCCGCTCTGCTTCTGTGATCCGGTCCACATACCATTTGAGCACTTTGATGAGATCTCTAAAATACAGGGGAAAATGTGCAGAATGTACAATTGGTCTAATTCTCAATTGAATGCCAACAAATCCAACGCTTAACTGTATCATGAGGAGGCTTCTTTTCCCAACAGTTCTCACATTTTCCTGTCAATCTGCTGTACAATAATTTTACTAAATCTGCAGATCAACACTGCCACCCCTTTTCAAAGCTTAGAAACAACACTCAATCTGGACATATTCCATAGTCCTGCGTTTCTGGTAATGCCTCCAAATGGGTGAACACGAATATTGGAGAAAAGGACTTTGGCCACCCAAGTGCCTGGCAGTATGACTGCCATGGTCAATACTGTAAAACTGCTCACTGGGATTTCTTTTCCAGTGACCATGTAAACAGTTGGATGCAATATCATTAGGCTGCAGGCAAAACGGGGTGGGGAAGAGGGATGGAGACAATGCTTCCCCACTGCTACGCACACCTTACGTATTTATCAAGGCAATTTTCTGACCCATGAGAAGAACATGGCTTATGTCAATATGTGCCTTAGGAGAATTTCTAGAAAGGCCAAGGTTTTTTTTTTTCCCCGTTTTGAAAAAATGTACAAACAACAGCATACAACTCTCAAGATTATAGTCTTACCACCTTGAACTTTGGTCAGTTCTTGGTTTCTTTTTTTTTCTTTTTTTGAGACAGAGTCTTGCTCTGTCACCCAGGCCGGTACGCAGTGGCTTGGCCCACTGCAACCTCTGCCTCCCTCATGGGTTCAAGCAATTCTTCTGCCTCAGCCTCCAAGCAGCCAGGATTCAAGTATGCACCACCATGCCCAGCTCATTTTTGTATTTTTAGTAGAGGCCAGGTTTCACCATGTCGGCCAGGCTGGTCTTGAACCCCTGACCTCAAATGATCTGCCCACCTTGGCCTCCCAAAGTGCTGGGATTACAGGCAAGAACCACTGCGCCCAGCCAGTTCTTGGTTTCTAGGAAACAGTTTACCCAGCAATGTTTCTCTGGGCCAGGGGAGAATACTTGGATGTGCCAGCAGGTGGATGTTGGTGGAGTGCTATTTTTTAAGATAACATGCCAGTGAGTTTCTGATCACCCCCAGCCTGAAAGGAATCCACAAGCCTTATTTGTCTTTTTAAGATCCTGCTTTCCTGGCCAATCAGAAGTGTGAGAAATTATACTCTTGTTTTCTAGCTTCCAAAGAGAATTTAACTTGGAAGCAGTGACCTCCTCACACTAGGGCCCAAATTGTTAGGCTGAGTGGGCCGATGTTTCAAAACTATTCGTGAGGTTGCATTTCGCTCTCAGCAAAAAATCACACTGATGAATGGTCTAGTCTAACAAAATTACCTTCATTCATTTCGATGTTGGAGATGTTGATCTTAACATGTCATGGTTGGGAATATTCAAGTAAACAGGATCAAATGCTTATCTGATAACCTACTAACCTTTATATATTACATAGATGGGGGAAGGATATCAACCTGATTTCATGCTTTTTAAACTCATCTCAGGGAACAGTCAGGCATGTGCATGCCCATAGGTGCTTAAGGTATAAGGTAGAAATATGGGAGAACAGCAAGCACCATATTGGACTGGGAGACAGACAATGGGGTACACTCCCGGGCTATCTAAGCAGAGCCAGACTGGGAAGGTGTTATTTGTCAAACTAAAAGAGAGAAGCTGTGGCCTCTGGCAATTATCAACTACCTTGCGAAGAGGCAGGCACTAGCTAAAGCATGACATTATTCATAACTTTTCAGCATCACCTGAGCCGGTAGAAAAGGAGGAGCAGTTAAAATAGCAGCCCCTGTCAAAGAGTAGATCCCAATGACTAAATTGCCTGAGGCCAGGGACCAGGTCTTCACATCATCAGCATAAAGTACAGCGCCTGGCAAGCAGCTGGCAGCCAGTAAATCCTAACAGATAAATGAATGAATGACTTTCAGCAGGTGTGAAGGCAAACGTTGTTTTCCATTCATATTTCTTTCTTACGAACTTTTATAATCATCAGGGAGTACAGTGATGAAGTGGGACTCTCAATAGCCAAAGTGCCAGACATTTTAGACCAAAGAATATCCAGTGAAACAGAGACAAGAAGGAAAGACTTTATATTATAGGGCTCAGGAATAGAATTCAGGAGGTTTTCTTTCCCTTTTTAATCAAAATAAGTTCTAGCCATTGAAAAAGGGTGTGTTAGCAGGGAAGAGACTTTCTCAAGAGACACTTCAGTAGTGCTCCATTTCTTCCTACACTCCCTTTTAAATTTTCCTATATCGCCTCTTCTGCTGAGAAAAGCTTGAAAGGAACCACTTCTAAACTAATTACAAGATACAGGGCCTTACCTGTATGCAAGTGCCCCAGCAAAATGACTCTCAATATAAGTGTCCATTACAGGTTTAAAATGATGAAATTTGCTATCTTGCAGCAAATTTATTATGTGAACCTAAAAAAAGAAAATTGAGCTTTATAAAACCAAATGCAAATCAAGGTTTTCCTTTTTTTTTCTTCTTCTTTTTAAAATGAACTCTTACATTATTAAGTGCATGTTTCTGAATCAGCCTCATGAAAGTCAAGATTGAGAGACAAAACAGTTAAAATATAATTTAGGGAATTTGAACTTACCAAAGAATCAAACACTTTAGACCCATATTTTTGGGAATTTTCATCTAAAATTCCAAATAAGGTATCCAGTGTATCCTGCAGAAACTGTTAGATAAAGAAGTAGTACATGAGTAAATAAGATACTATCTGTCTTTTTCCTCCAAATGTTCTTTATTCTATGAATCTCTGCAAGGAAAATAGTAATGAAATACTATATACCTTTACTATCTCTGAGCCATCGATTTCTTTTAATTTAGAGAGACAGCCAGTGATCTTGTCTGGGTGGGTTCTCCATTTCAAAAGATCAAGCATATCACCTTTCAAAACAGAAAAGGAGGATTAATTGCCTTAATAGGGAACAGGTCCTCACATGAAAGCGTTCTGCTGGTAAAAGTAAAATTCTTAACACATGTGGCTCCCTTCTCCTAGCCACTCAAGTCGCAGGCGCCCACAAACTGTGACTAGCCCTCTCCAGGATGGCATTTATTACACTGTATTCTGTTTTCTCCCCACTGCTCTTGACTTAAAAACTCCTACTCTTCTTTTAGTCCTCAGGTTGGATGTTGCTTCATTTTGGAAGCCTTTCCTGAAATCTCGAGCTAACTGTCCCTTCTCCATGCTTCCACATCACAGCAGCACGTACCTTACCATTACAGTTGTGGGTGTATTCATCTATGCCTCACCTAGACTGTAAACTCCAAGAGAAAAAAGCCATGCCAACCTGGCCCCTGCTGTATTCCCAGCACCAAGAACAGAGCAGGCAGGTGACAAATATTTGTTGATTAATTTTTCTGCCTCCTCCTGGAAAGATGAGAGTTTCTTGAGGGCTGGGAACCTGCTTTATTCCTGTTTGGGTGGCCAGCACATAGCACTCTGCCTAGCAACCAACTCCACCCAGCAACAAAGGTCTTCCTGGCAACGTGACCAAAATCTTGCAGACTAAAAGAATGATAACAGGCCCAGTGATTTCTCAGATCATCCAGGGAGCTCTCAACCTGAGAAGAGCAGTTGCTGGACCCCATGGGCCATCTTCCATCCCAGAGTCCAGGTAAGCACACGGCCCAGCCCTTTAACCCTTTCCTAAACGGACATGCGGGCCTTAGTTCAGCAGGTCCTGAGAACCTCTTCACCTGGGGAGGGAATAAATTTATCTTTCTTGGGCAGAAGTTAGAAAGGCTCTGGGAGATGGTGTTCATGTGTTATTAGTCTACAAAGCATGCAGGGAGATGTGGCATCTGGAGGCCAACAAATGCAGTGAGAACTGAAGGTTCATGTGTGCCAAGCATGCACAGGGCAGGGGGACCTGGTAGAGCTGGACTCAGGGCTCGGTGGAGTTGCCAGGCTAGACTGGCCGAGAGAGAAGCCAGGACAGAATTTCCAGGCAGAGAAGCAGGAAATTCACTTCAAATCACTTGTTTTAGCAGAAACCCAAAAGGGACTTTCTAAGAAACAGAAAGATGAATGAGGGAACAAAAACTCCAAACCCCCCAAAACCAAGGAAGTAGGTAAGATGAGAAAGAAAAAGAGAATATAGAGAACAGAAGTGAGAAAAAGCATTAAGAATCTCAAGGAGAAAGAGAAGCAAGCTCCACCAAAGCCAGATTCAAGAGAAAAACCTCACAAAGGATTTACTATTAATAGTAAGGAATTCAGTACCAAACAGGAATGTTTATCTGCAACAAACACGGGTAAGAGGAGGAGGAGGAGTTAGAATGAGAAAAATAAAGGGATTTTAAAAATACCAACTTTGAACAAGAGATTTATGAGGTTTTCATAACCAAAAACCCTGAAAATGTTGACTATTCAGATGTAATTCAGACACCCTGGGGTATGATTGAAACCTTTTTAAAACTGATTGGTTATATTTGGCATATCAGATATTTCCACAGAGTGAGACCCAGAGTGACAAAGGCAAAGCTCTATTGTTCTCCCCAGTTTGCTGCTTCCCTCCCACCTACTTCCTACTTCCTGCATCTCACTTCAGGAGGCCTCCCCTCCCTGGCATCTTCTCTTTCATAATCCCCCGTGCACTTCCCCTGCCATTCACTCCTCACTTCCCACTCCACCCCCATCCCAGCTCTCACTCCTCCTTTGTGTTCTCTTTCCCTTCCTTTAAAGTGAGGCAGTTGGAGGGGCCATGAGGACCCTGCTCAATGTGAGGAGTGTGGGGAGGAAGGAGGTGGCTATGCTGGCTACAAAGTGGCAGCAGTGAAGAATGAGGACTAGTGCCCATTTAAGTAGGGCTTGAAAATAGATTACAGGGGTCCAGAAAATGAGTCAGGATGAGCCTGCCCATCTTCTCTGCAAGAAGGCTGATGAATCTCTACACTGCTCATGATGGAGCACGTGGAAAAGCCCATTCATTAACCACCGAATGCTGATAAAGCCTGGTATAACAAATCTTAACTTGGTGTCCTATATAAATATAGTAGCAATGTATGTTGAAATTGAGAGGTGTTTTAAAAGTGGTCAAAATTTTGATGTTACATTTTGCTTTTTTTCTGAGACTATGATTACATCTGGATGTAATTAATCATGTATGCAAAATACTTAGAGTTCAGGCAAAATTGCTGTATCCTAGGTTTTTGCTTTTGCCATCTGAGGATGTTAGCTGCAAATTAGGAGCTACAACCTATCACAGAAAATACCAATTTCTACATTCCATTCAACAGGCATTTATTAGGTGTATATTATGTACCTAACCTATCAAGAGCTATAAAAATAGGAGGATGCCATGACCCCTAATCCTCCGAACCACAAAATCTCTACCTGTTCTGGCAGTCACAGATGCCCAGCGTAGTGCTTTGGCCTTGGTACACTGTCCATGTTGGATGACACAAAGCGTGTGCAGACAGACACACTTTGGGAATTCTGAAATGCAAATCTGCTCTAGGAAACTGCTCCTAGAGACCATATCACTTAGTAAATGCTGAATTATAGTAGAAATAAGATTTGTATATTTTCCAAGTCAAGAAAAATGAATACATAGCAATTTAATTCCAATTTGGAACTAAATTACTTCGACACAGAGATGTGTGTTTAGCATGTAAATTTCAGAAAGACCAACTAACTTCCTTCCTCCTTCCCAACTCTTGAAACATGCCATTCATTTCCTGGCTCCTTTTGAGCTGTTTCTCATTGACAAGGTTAATCAAAGCCAAACTAATAATGAATGAAACACTTATCCATCTCCAAAAATGAGCCAACCATTGCATGTGATTCTGATCCCACTTTCCATATAGTGAGATGTTTAATATAATTATTTCATAAGTTGTTTTTTACTCATATTTACCTGAAAATGTTCTCTACTTTTAAAAAGTAGCAACCTCTAATTTTCAGGATTTGTTTCTCTCTGCCTTATTTTCATAATTGTGTCTAACATCCTAAACGCTACAACTAGCACAAATTCAGTATGTAGGACCAAATATTTTGATGGAAGAGAATCTATTGTTAGGTTTACCTGTGTGGTAGGCAGAATAATGGCCTCAAAAGAACCTGTTCCAAGAATTAGGAGGGACTATGTTTCCCTCACACAGCAAAAGAAGACTGTACAGATGTGATTAAAGATCTTAAAATATTGGATTATCCAGCTCAAGATAATCATAAGAATCCTTAAAAGATGTAAGATGGTCAGAGTCAGAGAGATGTGATGATGCTATGCTTCTGGCTTTGCAGCTAGAGGAAGGGGCTATAGGCCAAGGAATGCAGGTGGCCTCTAAAGCTAGGAAGGGTAAGAAAATGGATTCTCTCCATTCCAGAGGGAATGCAGCCCTGCTGACACTTTGATTTTAGCCCGGTGGAACTGAGTTTGGATATTTGACCTCCAGAACTGCAATAATAATAAATCTTTATTGTTTTAAGGCAGTAAGTTTGTGGTAGCTGTTACAGCTGCAATAGATAAGTAATACACCCAAAATATTCTATTGGGGAAATTCAGTTAAACATGAATGCAAACTCTACTACCCACACACAACTAATCCACATAGAATAAATAAATATTTCTGTTTAAGGATCTCAATAAAAGGTTGATTTTATTATCTTCATAATTTCTATGGGGGTAAACTGGCCTCATAAAAAAAATACCTGAGGTTTCATAAATGCTTTATAATCATTTATTGAGTTATACCAATGGAAGTTTTATTTAAATAAAATCATTAACTACTGAATGCTGATAAAACCTGGTATAACAAATCTTAACTTGGTGTCCTATACAAATATAGTAGCAATGCATGTTGAAATTGAGAGGTGTTTCAAAAGTGGTCAAAATTTTGATGTTACATTTTGCTTTTTTCCTGAGACTATGATCTAAAAGAAGAAATGTTTCCTTCTACAAATGCTGTTCTCTGACACAGAAGAAGGAACTAAGAAAGAACTAATAACAGCACACATGTTTAGGCACAGGTTTTTATGAGACATAATACCTCATTATAAAGTGATTCTTCTCAACATAATGAATATAACTTATTTAATGTAGCATTCAGGGTGCTAGCCAGAAGTCTTATATGGCAATCATAAAAAACTCAAAAATGTTTAATTTACTTCCTTCATTAAAGAACATGTTTTCATAGCAATTTGCCAAGGAGAAGAGCTTGCTTTATTAATCATAACTTGCTAAACAATCACTGACATAAAAAGTAATGCTAGAACTGAAAAGCAATATGCATCTAATTAAACAAAAAACAGCCTTTATTCTAAAGCCTGCAATTAGCACTGTTTATGGAGCTATAAAACACGAGATTAAGGTGTTGGTATTTTCGTCTTTTTTTTTTTTTTTTTTTTTTAAAGCAGCTGGGTGTTGAGGGTTTATTTGAAAAGCTGTGTACTTGTTTTTCAATACTGGGATAATTTTGAAGTCCTTCTTAAATGACATGCATTCAACAGATCACTGGGTCACATTTGTTTCCATTTTATTTGAAATCACAAACAGAAGTATCCATAATTTTTCTAAAGTTCTTAACTATAACTTTGGTATTTACTGAATATGCTTACCAAAATTTACATGATTACTAGGTACTAGCGCTTTCAAATAAAATATTATACATTACCATTTTGTGTGAGTTTTGTGGAACAGAGAAAGGATGTAATACAAAAAGACTCCTTTGTGGCCTTCATGGCTTGATTATTATTCCCAAGGAAAATGCCCTTGGAAAAGGGAAGTTTGAGGTAGCGAGTAGTATCCTGAAGGTTTGTGTTTTCTTCACACTGTTAAAAATATTAAAAAAACATAAGGGAAGAGGAAGAGATCTTATAAGAATTATTAAGCATAATTTATATTACTAGTGTTTATAAATTGGGAAACATTCCAAACAGCATTACAAGTAGAATTTGGTTTTTAAATAAAATGCAAAAAAACTGTCTAAAAGAATTAAGCATGGATTTTTGGACTAAGATTAATTTGAGTTTGCATCCCAGCTCTGTAACTTCCCATGTGAGTGACCATATCAAATCAAATTATTTAACCACACACTGTTTCCGTTATCTTCTCTAAAATCTCATTGTGTTGTCACAAGAATTAGGTTATATAAAGCCTTTAACACACTCCTGATACACTGAAAATGATCAATAAATCATATTTGCAGTGACCATAGCATTTTTTCAAAAACGCTTAAATTCTTCTAACATCTCATCTGAGGCAGCTGTTAAACAATTCCTTACTTTGAAAACTGGTAATTAAAAGAAAGGATATTTCAGTTATTATAATTTGAGAGTCCTACTATGTGAGGGAAATCTCTACTTTCATAGTAAATGCCAGCTAACACATGTAAAAGCAATTACAGATTTAGAAAATATAATTTCATATCCCTACTGTAATTATTTTAGTCAAGGATTATTGCTTAGTGCTAAAACTGAGGAAAGAGAGAGACCCTCTCATACTATTTTATATTGTTTTATACTCAGTACCTGTTTTAAGAAAAAAACAAGGAAGTAAAACCAAAGACAGGCAGCCCGGCGCCAGGCCCAAAACCAGGCCTGGGCCTGCCTGGCCTAAACCCAGTAGTTAAAAATCAACTCATAACTTAGAAACCGATGTTATTCATAGATTCCAGA